GCGAGATGAGGAATACTTGAGTCCACCTTCCTCCCCCGCTCTCGCAATCGCCACCATCAGCGAACCTTCGGTCGAGCCAGAATCGAAGGGTTAGACGGAGTAGTCGCGAGGTCCTGGCGGGGATCACGGACGCATTCATAGCCGTTGCGGCTTGAGCCCAGCGCGAGCTCCAGCAGATGGATTGATCGACTCTGTGGGGCTACCAGCGCCGCCAGACCTTCCATATCATCCAAATTCCCGGCCGTCGCTGGTCGATGGCAGAGAGATGTTCTGCGGCGGCTTCCTCGGGGGCCATCCAGTTCGCCGGCGTCGGGGCCGCGTGCCGGTGCGACTCGGGCGCGGGCAATGCCGGCGTCGCGCAGCGGGGCGCGGGGCTTCCCCGAGGCGGAGGCGGCGAAGGTGATCGAGGAGCTTGGCTTCCCCGACAGCCCCGCCTGGAGCACGGACGGGCTGAGGCAGATCATCTTGGAGAACCTGCGCCCGCGGAACGAGACGGAGGCGCAGAAGGCAGCGAAAAGCATCGGTTCCAGGAAGAAGGCCGAGCTGACCGAGAAGGCGACCGATGTCGGGCCCCGCGTCGCGCCGAACATGACGAGTGCCTCGCTCAAGTTGGCGATCCGCAATGCAGTCCCCCAGTGGACCTCTCCGGGGCCGACCGATTACATGGGCTTCGGGAAGCGCGGCGCCATGGCTTGCCAGCAGGCCCCGGGCCAACGCCTGTCCCGCGCCGAGTGGGCCAAGAAGAAGAAGGAGGCGAACGCCGAGAGCAGCTGGGGGATCATCAGGTTTGTCTCGTGGCTCAACGGGGCGGGGGTCGCCCAGCCGGAGAAGCAGATGGCCAGGGGCTGCGAGGATGTCCTGGCGGGGCCGACCGCGGCTCGAGGGGGCGCGAGGTCATCTCGCCGAAGGACGGCGTGCGCTCCGATCGGGGGCGAGCTTGTGGAGGAGGAGAAGCGCGCGGCAGACGTCGAGGAGAAGCGGGCCAACCGCCGCGTCCAGGAGATGCTATCAGCGCTGGGCCAGCTCAACCAGAGGCTGGAGAGACTCGAGGGGCAGCCGAGGGCGCCGAGCACGGCCGACGGGAGCTTCCTTCCAGTGGGTTCCAGTCAGGATGGTCTGGGCGGGGTCTGAATTACACGACAGAGCTGGGCCCGAGGAAGCAGCGCTGGCTCGCGAAGTGCATCGAGGAGAACGACCGCACCGAGGACCTCGAGGCATTACTTGCCCATGGAGGGGTCCAGCTAATACAGATGGCCTACAGTCCTGCCTCCATCCCGAGCCCCGAGATGGCCGAGAAGATTGGCGAGGGCGCAGTCCGACGCGCCAGCTCCTGGAACGGGCGCAGGCTGGGGGCCCCAGCTGGGGGCCAGAAGGCCAGGACCACCTCTGGATCAGCACGAGACGTGGACCACTCTCGACGCTCGCCCTCGGCTTCAAGAGCTGAGGCCACCCGGAAGTGCCGACTCCAGGCGATCAAGGAGTACGAGGGCGCGGTGCGTGCGCGAACAGGCGGCACGGGGCAATCGCGCGCACTGGGAGTGGCCCATCAAGTGTGACAGGCGGGGCCGCGCCATGATCAGGCAGATGGTGGAGGACTGCGCGATGACCGTGGTCAAGGTGGCCCGAAGCCAGCTCGGGGTGAAGAACGAGGAGGGCGACCCTCTTCTGAAGGAGTGGCTGATCGCCGCGACTTCCCCGGAGATGGCGGCGAGGATGGCCATGGGTGGAGTGTCCAGGAGGTCATCGCCGCGGCGAGCTCGCAGGAGGCGGACTCACCGCGTCCACGAGCTGTTGCGCACGCGAGTTTGCGAAGACGGCGGGCGCGAGCCATGATCGAAGAGAGCGCGCCAGACTACCGCGAGTTCATGAGGAACATGGCCGAGGCCGAGGCGCAGGAGGGGCGGGCCCTGACCGCCGGCAAAGTGAGGACCGAGTTCCATGGAGCACCGGCAGATCACGCGGTGGCTCACCTCGGCGCATAGGGGATCGGGCCACAGTTCGAAGGCCTCCGCGCTGAACGCGCCCTGGAGGAAGGAGGGCCTCCAGGTGCTACGCGTGGCAGAGGATCTCCAATGCGACGCCTGCGCCGAGGCTAACCGCGACCGCCCGACGCACCCGCCAGTCATCTTCGAGGCCATGCCCCCGAAGCGGAAGCGCATCCAGGCCGACCTGTTCGAGCGGGGGCGCGCTCAGAAAGCGAGGTCCAAGTTCTTATTGATCGTAGACGGGGGCTGCAAGGTAATTCTCAGCAAGCTGCTCTACAACATGGTGGGCGAGGACCGACGCAGAAATCCAGTGTGGGCCGACCTGAAGAGCTTGCGAGGCACGTTGGTTGCCATGCTTCGGGAAGCCTCAGAGGATCAAGGTGGGCCCTGACGGTCCGTGGATGTCAAAGCAGGCCGCGGAGCACTTCGACTCCGACTCCATCGTGTGCGAGACGATCCCGGGGCGGGCCCGCTGGCGCACCTCCCTCGCGGTGGCCATCCAGGCCACGAAGGGGGCGATGGACAAGCTCGTGGCGGAAAGCCCGGAGATGACCACCGAGGAGGCTCTGGCTCGGACTGCGCACAGCATCCGGGAACTCCCGGGAGGACGTTCGCGGCCATTTCCCGCTCCAGCGCGCGCCGGGTAGGGCGCCAGACCTCGACGGCCACTTCTTCGAGGGCGACTTCGACGAGCCCCCCTACGTGGAGGCCAAGGGGGCTGACAAGGAGTGCGGCGACAACTACGCGAAGATGCATGCTGCATAGCGGGAGTACCTGAGGCAGGTCTATACGACGGATAAGCCCGGAGGAGAACGCGAATAACCAGGCGCTTCAGGCCGCGGCACCTGGCACGTGGGCGCGCAACTTCCGCGAGGAGAAGGGCGAGACCAATGGCCGGTTCAAGGGCCTCGCGCGGGTGCTCGCCGCGGAGACCAGCCGCCCGGTGGACGGTGACCTCGGGGAGAGCCCGACCTTGCATCCAGGTCGGGCTGGGCCCGTGGTCTGGCCGGTCCGGGCGGGCCGCGCCATCGAGGGGGACTTGTGCCGGATCCGAGCAGCGTCTGCGCGCGAGGTTGCCGGCGCGGAGCTCGTGGGCGGCATGGGCACCCCCGTGGACGGTGCGCACCTTCATGAATCAGGCGATGAGACAGGGGAACTTAGATTTCTCGGGCCACGACCCCACCGACCACGACGAGGAGTTGGCTTCCTGGGAAGGAGTGCCGGAGCCAGCGCTACCATTGGAGGAAGCACGCTTCGAGGGGCCGCCGAGTGAGTCGCCGAGGGGCCCACCTCTGCAGCCAGCGCGGAAGTCGATCCGACAGAAAGGGGGGCATCCAGGCGGCACTTCAGATGGGGCGAAGGCAGCGAGAGCTGCAGCAGCAGAGGAGACCATGAAGGAGAGAGCTGCGCTCATGGCCGAGGCCTCACCAGATGCCCGAGCTTGCTGGGCAGGCCAGCGTGCGTCGCTGGAGGTGTCGGTGGAGATTCCGCCTGCAGGTAAGGCCCCGAGGCAGGCCGCGAGGCTCGCGAGCACCTACATGGCGAGCCAGCTGAGGAAGGGCAAGCGGGAGATCTCGGAGAGGGCCCTCGCCCTGGACGAGGTAAAACAGTTCGGCGTCGCGAAGGCCACCGAGGTGAACGACTGCGTCATCTCCTCTGTTCTGGAATTCCCACCACCAGGGGTCACTCCGTCACCAGTGGACGTCGTGCGCATGCGATGGGTCCTGGAGTGGAAGATGGACGAGACTACAGGCGAAAGGAAGCCAAAGGCCAGGATCGTGGTTCTAGGCTACATGGACCCAAGGTACGAACGCCGCCCGATGGCAGCACCCACCGTGACACGGACGTCTCGACATATGGTGTTGCAGGTGATGTCATGGCTGGGCTTCAAGGATTTCAAGGCAGATGCGACAGGAGCTTTCACGCAGAACCGGGAGATCCAACGCGACCTCCTCGCGATGCCTGTCAAGGAGCTCGCCGCCGCCCTGGGGTGTCCAACGTCGCCGCGATGAGACTTCGGAAGGCCGTGCACGGGCTTGTGGAGGCCGCCATTGAGTGGTTCATGACAGTCAGTGAGGCTCTTGAGGAGTTCGGCTGGGCCCAGATGAGGATGGACCTGTGCGCCTGGGCGTTGCGCGGCGATGCCCATGGCCAGGGCGATCGCTTCGCCGGGGAGGCGCTGCAGGACTTCCTGGGCCCCGAGAAGCTGGACATGCTGGTCGCGGCGAAGGGCGACCTCGACGTCGTAGCCGCCGCAGGCTCGCGCGTGGGCGACGTCCTGACTGGGGGGGGAGAGTCTGGCCCACAGTGTGTATATGCACGCACGAAGATCGAGGAGCGCTTCAAGTGGAAGCTTTGGAATATGGACGAGTTCATGCAGACAGGCGCCCGGATCGAGCAGCGGGCCGACAAGAGCTTCCGCGTGGACCAGAGCGAAGGCATCAAGACCATCGAGACGGCAGCCCTGCCCCCCGAGCGCAAGAAGAACAGGGGCGCGCCGACCACCGACAAGGAGAAGGAACAGCCAAGGGCGATTCTCGGCGCAGTTGGGCGGCGCTCCGAGCAGTCGGGGCCCATGCGCTCAGCCGACGCCAGCCTACTGATCAGCGCGATTCCATCATCCACGGTGCAGGCCATCAACGAGACGAACCGCCGGGTCGACAGCGTGCGAGAGTGTGCTGACCTCCCAACAGTGATCCATAGCCATTCCCAGACACAGGTGTTCGTGCCCATCGAGTGGTCGGACTCCTCGGAATCGAACCGGCCAGACTGGAAATCCACCAGGGGCCTGGTCTGTGGGGTGGCTCTGCTGAAGACCCCCCAGGGCGACGATACGGACGTGAGCATCATATCATGGAGGTCGGGTAAGATCGATCGTGGATGCTGCTGTTCAGTCGCATGCGAGACGAGGTCAGCAGTGGACGGAGAAGATGAGCTGCGCGGAGACTAGCTACAGTGGCTAGAGACCTTGGGCAACAATATCGATTGGCGGAACCTAGAGGAGACCCTTTCCAGGCTGCCAGCCGCCGTGGTTGTGGACGCCGAGGGCCTCTGCGACAATTTCCAGACGACCGCGTGCACCTTCGGGGGCAAGGAAAGGAGGACCGACGTGGAAGCGATGACCATGAAGGAAGGGACGACGGCCGCCAACAACTGGATACTCTGGGTGCATGGCGACGCCCAGCTGGCGAACTCACTGACCAAGGGCCACGAGCCAGGCCAGCTGAGGATGTACTACAGCAGTGGCCACAGGTGGAAGCTGGTCTACGACGCCAAGTTCCAGAGTGCCAGGCAGCGGAAGGCGGCCGGCATGTTCCCTTGTGAGCATGTGCCTGCAGGAGTGCTACGCGAGACGAGTTCAGATGCATCGGAAGGGCTACTCACAGCCTCATCAGGAGCCGCTCACCACGAGGGGGACTTCCCCCGACTACGAGGCCGCGTCATGTGACAGCAGTTCGGATGAAGACCAAGACCGGAGTATGCTCAGCTTGGAGGACCCTTGTCCGTGCAGATTTCCTTAGTGTTAGGTCGGGCATGTCCCCCTACAGGCGGATTCCGGGCCAAACATTGAACAGGCAAAAAACGTATTCCAACTGGTCTAAACATGCTCAAACAATCGTCCCCATGCTGTTTGTTGGCTATTTCTGAATCTTCCCCCTGTAGATGGACAGGCCCGACATCACCCTAGTGACAAACCTGATCATTTCATGTGAGGTGAACGTGCGTTTTCTCTGTGTGTGCGCCCGTTGCCGTTGCATTCTCGAGCGAGCGCCCCCTCGCCTGTGTTCAGCGGCACACGTTTCTGATGTGAGGCTCCTGGAGAGGAGCCCGAGCTGACGCAGATCGCGGGGTGGAGAGATCAAACATACCACTGCGCTATACCCACCTAGAGTTGCAGCGTTGGGGCCCTCCTGGTGGGCCTCTTAGGCCGTCTGGAGCGTCGGGGGCTGGAAAAGTTGACGGCGCCCCAAACCATTGAAAAACCAGTGGGGAATCAATGACTTGGGCCTCTCGGGGCCCTCTTGGGAAGGCTTTTGGGGCGTCTTGGAAGCCTCTTGGGCGGTCTTGGGACTATGTTGGGCGTTTTGGTGCAATCGTTTGGCGATTCGGGGCCCTCTTGGACCGTCCTGGGAGCCGCTTGGGCCCCTCTTGGGCCCTTCTTGGGCTTAAAAAGGTCACGCAAGCAGACGTGAGAAACCCCGGAGAGCACGCGGGAAGCCCAAGAAGATTTAGCAATTTGGGCTCCAGGCCGCTTGAAGACTCCCTCAGGAGTGCTTAAGGGATTGGGCAAAATACTTGGGGGCACGCCCACTATGTGCCCAGCGGCATGGTTGCGGGTGCGCTTATTTTATGGATTGGGAGGAGTTGTCCTTCTGGGGGCCCTGTTGGGAGTCGTCTGGGAGCCCTCTGGGGGTGCCATGGGGGCCTCCTGGGTTGTTTTGCGGCCAATGGCCATCGGAGGCCACGTGGAGGCCTTCTTCGATTGTCTTTGGGCGTCCTGGGAACATTTCGAGCCCATCGGACGACGTCTGGGATCATTTCTAGAGCGAGTAACCCCCAGGGAAGTTGGCGGGAACCCTCTCCCGTCCAACGACCAGACCGAGCTCTAGGCGGAGGCCTTTTGGGCCCAGGTTTAGAGAAAAGCAACACCATAAATCACACGCCGTGCAACCCTCAAGGGGCCGGCAGATTTCCTATGCGTGCTTTTTTGTTCTCCGATCAGAGCGTATGCGGCCTTTCAGAAGTTGTGCTCAGGTTGCAGCAGCGCCGCCCATTTTCAGTGGTTTCCATCGTTCCTTCGTCTAACGGAACGACGCTCTCGCCGCGGCGTTGGCCGTGTTCTTGCATCAGCAAAAGTGCCGTTCCCGCTGGATCGTTTGCCACGCTTCCAAGTTTCCGATTCGGCTTCCGTCCAATAGAACGACGCTCTCACCGCAGACCTGGCCGTACTCCAGGCAGGTCTCGAATCGAGATGAGATAAATCCCTTCCAGAGCGTTCCAGAACGTTCTCAGAGCGTTCCAGAACGCTCTGCGAAGGCCGCGACGCTCGATACATCCTCCAAATCCGCCGAGTCTCAATTATTTCCCATATATTCCCTTTTCTATATTTTTACAATCCGGGGGGGTGGGAACCCCCCCCCCCCCCCCGAAAATCGGACCCCCGGGATCTGGCGCTTTTTGGGCCCCCTGGACGCCTTGCAAGGGGTCCCCCGGGCCTTCCGGGCCTCCTGGACGCCCCTGCCGGGCCTTGCCAGCGGGCCCAAAGCGGTCAGGAGGGCGGCCAAACGGCCCCGCGAGAGCCCCACGCGGCCCCAGACAGCCCCAAGACGCCCGAAGACGACCCAAAGAAGACCCCCAAGAGGTCCTCCAAGTGCAAAAAAACAGCACTTTCCTTTCCTTTCCTTTCCTTTCCTTTCCTTTCCTTTCCTTTCCTTTTTTGTTTTAAAAGAAGGAGTTTTTGGACATTCGGTTCTTCGGTATTCCGTGCGTCCGAGTCCGCCGAAGAGGCCCCAAAAATCCTCCCACAACGGTGTCAAAGGGCTTCCAGACAGTCCAAAGGAGCCCCAATATGGTCCAACAGGGCCGCAAGATGGCCCCAAGAGAGCCCCGCTGACAGCCCCAGATGGCCCCAAGACGCCTCCCGAAGCACTCCAAATCGTGACTCGGTCGTTCAGGGAGACCGTGGTTGGTAGCAAGGTGGCCGCAAGAAGCCCCCAGAGGCCCCCAAAAGGCGCCCAGGAGGCCCCCAGAGGTCCCCAAAAAGCTCTTGAGAGGGGCCCAGGAACACCTCCAAAGAGGAGCCCCTGCAATAAAAACTGGGGATGAGGACAAGGAGTGGCTCGCAGACAAGGAAGATTACGAGTAAGAGGAGAGGAAATATAAGGATAGTACATAACATTACTATAACGACGATGGCGCAAACGGCAACAATGAATCATCGCTATATTTGGCTCTCCTGCATGCCGAGCTTCAAGAACCAAGGTGCATGGCGCGAAGCGCCAATGCAGTCTTGTATATATATATATATATATATATATATATATATATATATATATATATAAGTCCGACGTTGTCTCGATTCTGCCTTCGTCTTAGTATTTTCGCATCAGCAAAACAAATCTCCCGCTGCAGCGCCTCCAGAAAACCTATATTTTGATTGGGCCTCCGCCCAGGGAAAAAGGCGCTCCCGCTGCCGCGCGCGGCCATGCCGCCAGCCGCAAAACGGAAGCGGTGTATTTGCTTCAGCGTTTGTTTTTTTGCCCCCCCCCCCCCCAGGTCAAGGTGGCCTTTTCGGACGAGGGGGCTCAGTTCTCAGAGGAGGAAAAAATGCTCCAGATTTCTTAATAAAAGGGAGGGGTCACAACCCTCCCAGATGAAAAGTTTTAGACCCTTCCAGACCATCCATGAAAGGGAGGCCCTTCGCCCAGACCCCCCCGAACCCTCCGAGACAGCTCAAATCAGACCCCCCCAAATGTGACCCCCCCCACTTTATTATGGAATCCGGAGTACCCACTCCTCTATCCATTCGCCCGTGTCCTCCTTTTTTCGGCCTACGTGATGCGCCGCCACGTGATGCGCCTAGAAATGCTGGTCCGGAGGCACCCCAGGAGAATTCGGGGAGTAGCGTTATCAGTACTTTGTGGTTTCCCCAGATGAAAGATGGGACGGAGGGGTATGATGTCAGACCTGACCGTGGCGTACCACTCTCCTTCACCTCGGCCCCCTCCTCGCCGTCCTCTTCCCCCCACCCTCCGCCTCCCCCTCATCCTCTTCTCCCACTCCCGCTCCCTCTCCTCCTTCACCTCCTCCGTCCTCCTCCGTCCTCCTCCGTCCTCCTCGTCCTCCTCCTCCTCCTCCTCCTCCTCCTCCTCCTCGCGCGCGTCCGGTCGGGGGCACGAACTGGTCGACGCGAGCCGCCGCGAGGCGTCGGAAGAGCAGTCTCCCATGGGCGACGGCTGGGGGCTCGCGGAGGACCTCCGCGGCCGCCGCCCGCCCCCCAGGGAGGAGGAGGAGGAGGAGGAGGAGGAGGAGGAGGAGGAGGAGGAGGAGGAGGAAGAGGACGAACGCCACAGCGGTCACGCTCAGGTCGGTCTGACGTAAAAGGAGGAGGATGAGGAGGACCAGTGTAAACCCAAGAGTCATCAACGATGTTTGCATAAACCTTCCCTCCAAGCTCCCTCTTCATAGACCCCTACAACTGTCATTTCCAATGAGGGAATTGCCTCGTTGGAAGACAACCGTTTGAAGACCCTGAAGCATGCCAAAACATTATTCTCGGGACTCCAACGCCACGGATCAACCTGACTGTTGCGCTTTGATGATCCCTTAATCGCGCCAGAGGGCCATTCTTGGGACTTCAACACCGCGAATCAATGTACTTGTTGCAACCTCATAGTCATGAATTTTCCCAAAAGCAGTATTCCTGGTACGTTGACCATGGGAATCCGCGAAACTCTTGTGCAATTTTCAACTAGGAATGTGTGCGGCGCTAAGGCGAGAACCGCTTTTTGAAAACGATCCGCCCTCAATCCGTGAAGCTCTTGCAAATGTCCAACCGAATGTACGCGGCGCTAGGGCGAGAGCCACTTTGAAAGCCACCCCCCTCAATCCATGAAATTGTTAAAGCTGTTTAAGCGAATGCGCGCGGCGCTAAGTCGAGAGCCACATTCTGAAACTTTGAAAACCACCCGTCCTCTCCGTGAAACTCGTGCAGATAAGAGAAAAACGAGTGTGCGCCGCGTTACGGCGAGAACCACATTTCGAAAACCACCCGCTCTCCATCTGTTAAGCTGTTGCCAGTGTTTCAGCTTCCGGGTCATGAGTGGTGGGGAAGTCTGGGGCGAAACGCCTGGCCCGCCTTTTCGACCGTAGGGAGCTATAACTGGGGCCCCAGTGGAAAGGCTCGCACTGCACCGCCGCCCCACCTTTGGCCCCAGAGGGAGCTCCACTTAAGGCCCCAGAGGGAGGTTTCGCATGGCACCGCCGCCACATTTCAGCACACCCCTCACACGCTTCGTGACCCCATGGGGAGCTCCACCTGATGCCCCAGTGGCAGGGTTCTCATGGCACTGCCTCCCCATTTTGGTACACCCCTCACGCTTCGTGGCCCCATGGGGAGGTCTACTTCAGGCCCAAGTGGCAGGGTTCGCATGGCAGTGCCGCCCGATTTTGGCACACCCCTTACACGTTTTGTGGCCCCATAGGGAATTCCACCTGAGGCCCAAGTGAGAAGGGTTTCCATGGCACCGCCGACTCCATCTCCACACACCCCTCACACGCTTCGTGGCCCCATAGGGAGCT